ATATATATATATATATACACTACAAGGGCGACAACAAGGCCACAAGTACGAAAACGAAAGCGATAGATATCCATCAAACAGCAGGTAAAGATAGCAATCTACGAGTAACAGTGATACCATACTAATACTAATGTTAGCGGTCTGAGAAAGAAAAAGCAAAACGCTCGACTACCTACTAGCCTTCTATTCTAATCCTCGACCTCCACACCTTCTATCAAGGGACATGTCCTCGGTAAGCTCCAACTGCGCCATATTCTGCCTAATCACCTCTCTCCAATACTTCTTAGGCCTACCTCTATCCCTCCTCATACCCCCTAAGGCAAACCTCTCACATTTCCCAACTGGGGTATCAACGCTTATCCTCTTCACATATCCAAATCATCTCAGCCTCGCCTCTCGCATCTGGTCCTCCACGGGGACCTTTTCCCGAATACATCATTGCTAATCTTATCAAATTTAGAATACCCGCACATCCATCTCAACATCCTCATTTCAGCTATTTTTATCTTTTGGACATGAGAGTTCTTGAGTGATCAACACTCTGCACCATATAACATAGTCGGTTCAACCACCACTTTATAGAACTTACCTTTAAATAATAAATAACATTATTATTTGTGTTTATAATTTTTGTTGGGAAACTACTCCATATAGTCGCTCCCAAAAAAATAGCAGCAAATATATTATTTTGTATATTAATACTATATAATGTACATATTTTTATATAATCGATGTATAATTTTTTGTATATTTGACTAGCGAATGTAATTATTTTTGGCCAACTTAGCAAAATTTGTAGCTTGCCCTTTTGTTTGCACTGATATAGCCCATATTCATTAAAAACGATGTTAAAGATTAGTAATAAATATTTCGTCTCGGATTTCATAAAGATTAGTAATATATTTCATCAAGAAAAAAATCAAAAAAGAAATCATTTTTATCGAATTCCGTCTCTACAATTTGAACGAGAGTATTCACTGCCTTTATGCATGTATATATAAGGACAAGAGAATTAATTCATGCATCAGCCAATTAAAACACTTTCATCATGGCCTCCTCCACATCAACCTGTTTCATTTGTAGCAAGAATAATCCTGAAACAAATTGTGAACGATGCATTTTCACTTATTGTTTTACTGTTGTTGACGATTTTTTGGCTCTAACTAAATTCTTTGGTGGTGAAGAAAATTTGAGAACTAAACTAACAAATACATTACCTCATGATTGGCAACAATGGGTAATCAATCGAGTGAAAGAAGTAGCAATTTTGGAAGGAGCAGATGTTGTTGATGGGTTCATTGTAAAGTTTGAAAATCTAGAGAGCATTGGTGAAAATTTGCAGAGTATAATTATTTGGGTCAAAAAACTCCTTACCGTTACACTATTAAACAAAAATGTCCCTAAACAGACGGAATAGACACGTGGCGTTGATTTAAGGCTCAAGGCCATCTGGTTCATTTTAATAACCTAAATTGGACCGAACCCGCTCCGACCCACATACTTGACATCCAAATTTTGACATCCAAATCCAAATCTGGGTTTAACTAGTTCACCATTTTCACCTTTTCCACAACAAACCTGAAAATACTAAGATACTCATTCATATAAACCCAGATTGTAAAATTGAATCTTTAAGAGCGATAATTTAGGAAAATTTACCTCAAGAGTCGTATGTGTGATGGTTATGGAAAGATCTTTTTAGTGTAATTTCGAGCAGGTTTTCCGGCGTTGTATCTAGCAATTATTAATTGAATTTTTTACTGTAATTTCTATCAACTATTATTAACACGAGCAAATTTCTAATTAAGGTCATCAATTTTTTATCAATATGAGCAGCTATCTAAAGGTCACAAGAAAAATAAAAACCAACAAGCAGATCTGAGAATTTCAGTGGGACCTGGCTAGGTTCTATTTTCCGGCAAAGTTCAAAAAATGGCAAAACCTCTGATTTTTTTAGATCCAACAAATTGGAAAGAAGAAAAAGAAATAAGTAGAAGAAGGAAAATGAAACAAATTGGCCAAGATTTGTAGTAGATCTCGCCGGTTTTCATGGTGGATATAAAATGAAGAAGGAAAACAATGAGAGAGTGGTGGTTTTATAATTTTTCCGGCGAGTTTCACCGGTTCCGTTCGCTTATATGGTGGAATGGGTTTGCTGTTTGGATGATGAAACACGAAGAAAAAGAAGAAGAGAAGGGAGACGGAAGGGGGGGGGAACTAA